TCCGCGGGCGCCGCGGCGCCGTCGTCGGCGACGTGGGCGGCGCAGGCGGCGGCGAGGGCGGCGTCGCCGACCTCGAGCGCCGCGAGCGCGCCGTTGAGGTGGCACGCGGTCCGCAGCGCGCGCGCCTCTTCCGACCGCCACCACGCCGCGGCCCCGCGCGGCGCGCCGCCGGCGCCGACGAGGGCCAGCGCCGCGGCGCCCGCCACCGGCCGCGCGCCGGGCGCGACGAGGAACGGCGGCGGCATGCGGCCCGCGCTGTCGCCGCGCAACAGCCAGAGCGCCACGGCGTAGTTGCGCAGGGCGTGGGGCCAGTCGCCGTTGCGGCTGTGCGCGTTGCCGTGCGCCTTGAACGCCGCCGCCTCGCGCACGCGCGCCTCGCCGGCGAGGACGCCGAGCCGCCGCGTCGGGAGTAACGCCGGCAGCAGCGGGGCTGCCGAAGAGGGGCCACCATCGTCGGCGTCCATGCCTTCAAGAAAAGTCGATCGCCTTCAACAACCCGATTTCTATTTTTCCATCGATCGACGAGCCACGGCACCGCGTGTCGTCGGACAGCAGCACCCTAGTCGGCCCGCGCCGCGCCGCTCGCGTCGTCGAAGCGACCGCGCGCGTCGTCTCGGAGCGGCCACACAACTAGCGGCGCTCGCCCGAGCCGCGGCGGCTCTCCGGAAAACAGTAAGCGCTCGCCGAGACAAGCCTTCTACGCCGCTCGCGCCCATGGACGCCGCGAGCGCCCCCCTCCTGGGCGAGGAGAAGGGCTACGGCGCGTCGGGCAAGACGGAGGTGCCGAGCCGCGAGGAGGAGGACCGGCGCGCCATCGAGTTCGCCATGGCCACGGGCCCCGAGGGCCTGGCCGAGGCCGAGGCGGCGAAGCGGCTCGAGGAGTTCGGGCCGAACGTGCTCGAGGAGGCGAAGCGCAACGAGCTGCTCATCTTCCTGAGCTTCTTCTGGGGCCCCATGCCCATCATGATCTGGGCCGCGACGGCCGTCGTCGCCGTCGAGGGCGACTGGGAGGATTTCGGCGTGCTCCTCACGCTCCAGGTCGTCAACGGCACCGTGGGCTTCTTCGAGGAGAAGAGCGCCGGCGACGCCATCGCGGCGCTCAAGGACTCGCTCGCGCCGCGCGCGTCCGTGAAGCGGTCCGGCGCGTTCCGCTCCGTCGACGCGAGCACGCTCGTGCCCGGCGACCTCCTCAACGTCAAGCTCGGCGACATCGTGCCCGCGGACTGCAAGCTGCTCGGCGGCAAGGCCCTCGAGGTGGACCAGGCGGCGCTGACGGGCGAGTCGCTGCCCGTGACGCGGGGGCCGGGCGACACGGTCTTCATGGGGTCCGTGATCCGCCGCGGCGAGATCGAGGCCGTCGTCTGCTTCACGGGCGGCCGCACGTTCTTCGGCCGCGCGGCGGAGATGGTGAACCGGGCCGCCGGCGAGCAGCAGGGGCGCTTCGCCAAGGTCATGTTCCAGAACACGATCGTGCTCTTCACGCTGTCCGTGACGCTCTGCACGGTCATCTACTTCAAGCTCATGGAGTCCGGGCTGAGCCCCCTCAAGGCGCTGGGCACGACGGTGGTCATCCTCATCGCCTGCATCCCCATCGCCATGCAGATCGTGTCGACGACGGTCATGGCCGTCGGCGGCCGGTCGCTCGCGGAGAAGAAGGCGATCCTCGCGCGGCTCAGCGCGATCGAGGAGCTCAGCGGCATGGACATCCTCTGCAGCGACAAGACGGGCACGCTCACGCAGAACAAGCTCCAGCTCTTCGACCCCGTGCTCATCGACCCGGCCGTCGACAAGGACGAGCTCGTCTTCCTCGGCGCGCTCGCGGCGAAGCGCATGGCGTCCGGCGCGGACGCGATCGACACGGTCATCGTCGCGTCCGTCGCCGAGCGGGACCGCCCGCGCCTCGACGCCCACGAGGAGCTCGACTTCACGCCCTTCGACCCCGTGCTGAAGCGCACGGAGGCGACGGTCCGCGACGAGCGCGGCGCCGTCCTGCGCGTGACCAAGGGCGCGACCAAGGTCGTGCTCGACCTCTGCGCGGACAAGGCCGCCGTCGAGGCCGACGTGCTCCGCGCGAACCAGGACCTCGCGGACCGGGGGTTCCGGTCCATCGGCGTCGCCGTCGCCCGGGGCGCCAAGGGCGCGTTCAAGTTCGCGGGCGTCATCTCGCTCTTCGACCCGCCGCGCGTGGACACGAAGGAGACGCTCGAGCGGGCGCGGGGCATGGGCATCGCCGTCAAGATGGTCACGGGCGACCAGACGGCCATCGCCGTCGAGACGTCCAAGTCCATCGCGCTCTCGGCGCGGGCGACGCCCGTCGTCGAGGACATGCGCGCGTTCGCGGCCGCGGAGAAGCGGGGCGAGGCCGAGGCGACGGCGCTCTGCGAGCGCGTCGACGGCTTCGCCGAGGTCTACCCGGAGCACAAGTACCGCATCGTCGAGCTCCTCCAGCTCGCGGGCCACACGGTCGGCATGACGGGCGACGGCGTCAACGACGCGCCCGCGCTCAAGAAGGCGCAGATCGGCATCGCCGTCGAGGGCGCCACGGACGCGGCGCGCGCGGCGGCGGACATCGTGCTCACGGAGCCGGGCCTCTCCGTCATCATCGACGCGATCACGACGTCGCGGTGCATCTTCGCGCGCGTCCGCAACTACGTCATCTACCGCATCGCGTGCACGCTCCAGATCGTCTTCTTCTTCTTCATCGCCTGCCTCGCCTTCCGGCCCTGGCACTACTACTGCTCCGAGTCGGACCGCGACATCACGGGCTCCTACTTTGACAGCTGCGACTACGACGACCTGATAAACCCGGACGACGACGACTCGTGCCACGAGTCCGACGACGGCGACTGCGTCTACCCCTTCGTCTACCGGCCGGCCAAGTTCGCCTTCGCCATCCCCGTCATCGGCATCGTCATCATCACCATCCTCAACGACGGCTGCATGCTCACGATCGCGCGCGACGCCGTCGTGCCCGCGGCGAAGCCTCAGTCCTGGGACCTCGCGGAGCTGCGCCTCGTCGCGACGGTGCTCGGCGTCGTGCCCCTGGCGTCGAGCCTGCTGCTCCTCTGGCTCGGGCTCACGTCCGCGGACGGCCTCTACCCGTCGTACGCCTGGCTCTTCGGGAGGAAGGTGCCCTCGAGGTGGCAGAACGACGCGTCGGACCGCCACTACCTGCCCTACGAGCAGCTCATCATGATCATGTACCTGAAGATCTCCATCTCCGACTTCCTCACGCTCTTCGCGAGCCGCACGCGCGGGCCCTTCTACGAGCGCGCGCCGGCCCCCCTGCTCTTCGCGGCGTTCCTCGTCGCGACGCTCACGGCGACGCTCCTCGCGACGCAGGCGGACCTCGACGACTCGACCTACCCCATGTACGCCATCGGCTCCAACGCCGCCGCCTTCGTCTGGCTCTACAACCTCGCCTGGTTCGCCGTCCAGGACGCGGCCAAGGTCGCGCTCTACCGCGCCTTCGACCTCCGCGACGCCGCCGCGGCCGCCGACGGCGCGGCCGTCGCGCCGGACGACAAGCCCGACGAGCAGACGACCCTGCTCTAATCGCTCCGTGTTTCTTGTGGATGGGGCGGACTCGTGGCGGGAGCGCCTCGGGGCCTACTGCGTGCTCGCGACGGCGGCGGGCGCGCGGAGCGGCGCGTCCTTGGGCGCGGGGGGCAGGAAGTCGACGGCGCAGCGCGGGGGGCTCCGGTCGCGCCGCGGGCTCCGGGGCGACGGCCGCCGGTCCTCGGGCCGCGGCGCGGCGAGCGCGTCGTCGTCGCCGCCGCCGTTGAGCCGCAGGGGCGACTCGTGGTCGAGGTCGCCGGGCTCGGGCTCGATGAGCACCGTGGGCCTGCCGTTTGCCCGGGCGAGCGCGACGACGTGGCGGAGGAGGCGCCGCCGCTCGAGGGGCCGGAGGCCCGCGAGCGCGTCGGCCTCAAAGTCCTCGGCCGTGAGGTCGACGAGGTGCTCCGGCCGGCTCGCGCCGAGGGACCGGAGCGCCGCCGCGTGGTGGCCGAGGTCCATGGCGCCGAGCCAGCGCTCGAGGCGGCCGTCCGGCGGCGACTCGCCCGCGAGCGCGCGCGCGGCCGCGGCGGCGTAGGGCGACGGCGGCGCCGCGGCGCGCGGCGGGGGCGTGGCCGGCGGCGCGGCCGGGGCCGCCGCCGGCCGCGCCGGGCTCGCCGCGGGCTCCGGGAGCCGCGGGCTCCGGGGCTCCGGGAGCCGCGGGCTCCGCGGCTCGTAACCGGCGTCGCCGGCGTCGCGCCGCTCGCGCCACGCG